TCATTTGACTCATTTCCTAGCCAAGATAATAATAAAAGAATTTTGTAGTATTTTCTCTCTATTGTTTTGAGAAAAACTTCATGTAATATGACTCATTTCCTAGCCAAGGTGATAATAATTGCGCACTTGAGAAGCCCACCTGCCAGCCATGATACTATAGTCACAGAAGAGGTGTGCGCACACCACCCAAGACGCGTCTTCTTTCCAGTCATGCACAATACTGCGCTCCCTGACGCTGCGACCGCCGCTGCTGCTGCGGTTGCTCACTCCACCCACACTCGGCATGACCAGCCCTACACGACTGTCCAGCAGCAGCACTGATCCGTCACTGCAGCCTGCAGCGATGTGAACACCTGCACATGCACTCACAAACATTAGTGGGTTATATTGGCCAACAAACGTAGTAGCACGTTTGGCCAGTAGCACTGGCCAAGCAGTAGCACTGACCAGCAGCGATGCGCACCGCTGCAAACGCACTCACAAACTCAAATGGGTCATATTGTTCAAACAGTAACACACTTTCTATTCCAGAGCACAGAGAGGACATAGCAATGATAGGATTTTTGAGCAGATAAACTGGGCCAGGATGTCAGACACACCCTTTAAACTGAATGAAACAAACTGGATCAGGATAACACACACACTTTCAACAAGACACTTTCTAACCGGCCCAACGTACACCGTCTAACTCATTACACTGCGTAAGTAATTAAGTAGCAGACTACTCGCTTCTTTCACTCCTTGAAGACTGAAAGGCAGGCAGCTCTAGTATCCAGGCTCTTAGATTCGAATGGCATTGAAATACTGTACTTGAAGATTCTTTATACAAATGTATAAAGCATCGATCAGGTAACTGCAGACAACAGAACAGGATGAGACAGCAGATAGCGAACATTGGTCCTGCAGAAAATAATATAAATATTTATTAACATTAATCATATTTTGTATTATGAATAGAATATTTAGTTCAGAACAGAATACCTTGCGTGTGAAGTGCCGTGATGCAGGAGGCGTAAGAGGTGGCAGTAGAGGCAGTATGCAGCAGGTCCCCCGCATGTAGTTCAGTGCGCAGGTCCCACAGNGCCGCTGGTCTCAGTCTCAGGCGCTACAGGGCGAGACCGCGAGAGACGCGCCGCTGCCGCTGCGCCGCATGGTGTCTAAAAAAAGCTACAGAGAAGCCTAACTTCTCCCCCATTTCTGTTAGTTATAAACAACCGAGCTTCCTAGTCTGTTTACCAGTTGTAAGAACAACACACCGAGAACTCTTCCTTAACAAAAAAGGCCTAATTGGCTAAGCATGAAAAAATTGATAAAGAATTAGTGACTGAAATATTTTTTTCTAATTTGCAAGTCACTTTAGAAACCTTAGAAATGATAGATCAATTTTATTAAAACTTTTGATTATCGTCATACCAGAACCAGCTGAAAGGAAATATGGTGGCAGCTCAAAAAATGCCATAAGAACGTAAAATGTTATTGTAGACTAAAACGCTTATTACATGACCCGGTTAGTGCTAATCACAATTTAGTGTAGGTTGTAGGGTATAGAGTATAGACTATAGGGCTTGGTCGCCATTCCTTGTGACGAAATTTTAGCTCATCCCGGCATCGATTTTTAGGGAGCTAGGGTGCGAGGGAGAGTGGGAGAGAGAGCGAAGAGAGAAGCATGCAGTGAACTCCAAGTTTCCAACCGAGGAGAGCAACTCTCTCAAACCATCATAGAGCACATCGAGAAGGGAAATTTTAAGCTTGAAAACTACAGAAAACATCAAGTAGATTTATGAATTCCATTCAAAACAGAAAATATATCTTCTACTTCTGTTGTTGAAGTTTTAGTGTCTCTCGTTGGAAAAGAATGTAGAGTTCATAAATTATAATTATAATTGCCACAGTTACTCAAACTCCAAATCCAGTCCCGAGTTGACTACTGAGTACTGAGGCCATCTTTCTCTCTGTCAATCAATGGCAAATTTGAAGAGATGTATTCGAAATTTCGAAATACACACACACAAAAAAAAAAAGAAAACCTATATAACAAAAAGATAGAAGAAAAAAATTCCACTAAGTGAATTTTGAATCGCTGGAGAGTATACGTGATTACGTGGCATTGTTTAGCATCGGCGACATTAAGAAATTTCCATTCCAACTGTAGCGCTATTAGTATTAGTAAATGACGTTTTTTCCCCGGTCAAGTATTATAAATGGATAAGTTTTTGCTATTTACAATTCGTAAAAACATGAACTTACATGAATGAGTAAACTCACCATTTTTCAAGTAGAAGTCTTGCTTATTGCTCGAAAATTTTGCAACAGCCAATAAAGCTGAACAGGAGGAAGTGATGATGCTTTTCCTACACCGTTCTGAACAGTAGTGACGGACGCTGAGNGACAGTGGTTATAATAGACATAAGGACTGTACAGCGGCCGAACACCTGTAGCACAGATCGAAGTATCATTATAGCTCCGCGTAAATCGATAGCAACGCTCTGGACCGAATCGATAGGACCCTCTGGACGCCACGCATTCCATTTGATTCAATGCCATCATGACTATAAAAATATTTTCATCAGTAGAGATCTCGAGAAATATTGACGGTGCTTTGCCTTCGTGAAAATTTATTGCATCTCAATATCAATAAATATGGCTTGGTCAGGATAATAAAACTTTTCCAACATTGTTCAAGTCTTGAAACACACTAAAATCGTGGGATAATTTATTAAGTTTTCTCGACAGTCATTTAAACAGTCTCAATGTGAAACAGTCATGTTTAAACATACTCAACATGAAACTCATGAAAACCACACAAAAAATAACCGGGAATAATAACTCAAACAGCAGCGATAACTCTAACACCCATATACTTTGTTACGATTTTAGGTTCACATAACATTCATGACGAAATTTATGTCTTTATTTTTTTAACAACTTCAAGTATCAATACTGCATTTCCACAAGCGCACACGAACTATAAGCCAAGAAAAACTGTAATTCAAAATTCCACAGATAAAAACCACAGCAATGAACTCGCATGAGAAAAATAAAAAGATTCCCCAAATGTAGCGCGACAGAAAACGTGTTCATCGTAAAATATTTGTAGGAAAAATTCAATGTAATATTGGATAAACACACGCACTTTCATGCACCTTATGTGTTTTCCATTAACCTTAAATTACCTAAATACCTAATTTGGCACTTACCACACGTTATTGCATACATATTATTCATCATTTCCAGAGCATCAGAGCAGACACTTAGGACTGACGGTCGTTACACTAACACAGGCGTCGACATGAAAGTTCAAGCATCACTGAACACTGGAACTGTACATATCAAAATGTAGAGAAAGCTTATCCAAATAAAGATAATAAACTAACTTTATACAATCATCGCTCTAATAGTTTCACTCAGAAATCATCTTATTTTTACTATGGGCATGAGTTTTAAAAAGATCGCTTCTGAGGTTCTTGGCAAACTCATTCTCGTTTCGATAAGAGTAATAATTGCATTTTTATCCAACAGAAAATCTAGGTTTTCTACTACGNGCCACGTATTCCATTTGATTATACTCAATCGTTACTTACAAAAATATTTTAGATCGAAGAACCATTATAGCTCTGCGTAAATCAATAGCCGCAATTGCATGGACCCTCCGGACGCCACGTATTCCATTTGATTATACTCAATCGTTACTTACAAAAATATTTTAGATCGAAGAACCATTATAGCTCTGCGTAAATCAATAGCCGCAATTGCATGGACCCTCCGGACGCCACGTATTCCATTTGATTATACTCAATCGTTACTTACAAAAATATTTTAGATCGAAGAACCATTATAGCTCTGCGTAAATCAATAGCCGCAATTGCATGGACCCTCCGGACGCCACGTATTCCATTTGATTATACTCAATCGTTACTTACAAAAATATTTTAGATCGAAGAACCATTATAGCTCTGCGTAAATCAATAGCCGCAATTGCATGGACCCTCCGGACGCCACGTATTCCATTTGATTATACTCAATCGTTACTTACAAAAATATTTTAGATCGAAGAACCATTATAGCTCTGCGTAAATCAATAGCCGCAATTGCATGGACCCTCCGGACGCCACGTATTCCATTTGATTATACTCAATCGTTACTTACAAAAATATTTTAGATCGAAGAACCATTATAGCTCTGCGTAAATCAATAGCCGCAATTGCATGGACCCTCCGGACGCCACGTATTCCATTTGATTCTACTCAATCGTTACTTACAAAAATATTTTAGATCGAAGAATCATTATAGCTCCGCGTAAATCGATAGCAGCAATTGAGTGGACCCTCTGGACGCCACGTATTCCATTTGATTCAATGCCATCATGACTATATATAATATTTTCATCAATAGAGATCTCGAGAAATATTGACGATGCCTCGCCTTCGTAAAAATTTAATGCATCTCAAGATCAATAAATACGGCTTGGTCAGGATAATAAAACTTGTTCAACATCGTTCAATTCTTGAAACACACTAAAATAGTGGGATAATTTATTAAGTTTTCTTGACAGTCATGTTTAAACAGTCTCAATGTGAAACAGTCATGTTTAAACATACTCAACATGAGTCATGTTTAAATAGTCTCAACATGAAACTCGTGAAACCCACACAAAAAATAACCGGGAATAATAACTCAAACAGCAGCGATAACTCTAACACCCATATACTTTGTTACGATTTTAGGTCCACATAACATTCACGGCGAAATTTATCTCTTTATTTTTTTCAATGATCAAACGACTTTAAGTTTCAATACTGCATTTCCACAGGCGCACACAAACTAAAAGCCAAGAAAAATTATAATTCAAACTTCCACAGATAAAAACCACAGCAATGAACTCACACGAGAAAAATAAAAAGATTCCCCAAATGTAGCGCGACAGAAAACGTGTTCATCGTAAAATATTTGTAGGAAAAATTCAATGTAATATTGGATAAACACACGCACTTTCATGNGAATATGATTGCACAACAGAGGTACAATCTATTTCAATATCAAGCGATTTCTCATGGCATTATTAAATCTCTGCAAAAAAATCCGTGAACAACCAAATAATTTGGTGCAGCAAACACGAGATTTTTAAGTTCTGCAAGTGAAGACAGTATAACGTCAATTATTTGTAACGATCGTTTAGATCAGTCATCAGGCAATCCGAAGTATCTTGTTCAGTTTATGAATACAAGCGTTTAAGCCGCGGCGACTTACTATCATCACACTTTAAAGGATTCTAAACTAGATTGTTGATAGAAGATGATAGGTGGCACAGATTGTTTTTTTCTCAAAAATATCGACTAATAAATAACATCCTCACATTTATTGGCAGTGTTATAGATTAAGTTGGTTGAAGATCAGAAAATTGCTACTCAGAAATGTACAGAGACGACTCAAGTTGAGTTTAAAAAAAATGTATAATAGCTAATAATGAAAAAACATAAACCAAAGGCAAAATACTTGAACAAACTAAAAATTGATTTCGCCTGCTACTGTAATTTCTTTTAAAGTAAGAAAGCACCAAAGGAAATGCAAATATTTTAGCATGTTAGAGAAGAAAATTATGAAGAATTACGACAAAGGCGGTCAAAATTATGAAGAATTACGACAAAGGCAGTCGTTGAATCAAATTAACATACAAAAGTATACATAAGCACAACTAACACAGACTGGGCTAATCTATCATAATTGAATTAATGAGCAACTACGACCACAATTATTGCAATACCTGAGAATGAAGACAAAAAAATTACGCTGCCGAACCGTCGGGCAAAGTTCACAAAAAAAAAAAAAAAAACAATGAACATCCCATTAACTCCCAAAGCAAACATAATATACAAAATTATGACAAAAATGGTTAGGAAAATTTCTCGTGGAATAGAATGGACAGCAGATTCTTTTTACAGTGAACATGGCGGCAAGCATTGAATACAATGAACGAGTCATACATTCATGTCCGGTAAGTGATCAGTATGAGCGCACTAGAGAAGCTTTTCCAGGAAACGAGCGTTTACTATTTAAGTTTTTCCAGGATACGAGCGTTTACAAGGAAAGCTTTTCCAGTGTATTTGGCGTTTACTAGGAAATCTTTCTCGGGATAAAACATCCAAGAAATATAACAGTACTTTCGTAGCTGCACAACGAGGAAAGAAAACACATTTATTTTGTATACATACTAAGAAAGAAGAGTTTGTTTTAGCTGAACTGAGTATCGTAAACCGACAATTCTAGCCGCATTTTCCTGCATGTCAACATTGGTCAGGGAAAGCAAATGCAACTTTTATCTCAACTGCAGACCGTAAACAGAAACAGTTTTATCATTGGTAGCAGCAGCCAGAAGAGGCCTAGAGGCATGAAAGGCAATGGCCGCAACAGGCGAGGCTCTCTGAGCAAGAAAGCCTTCATTCACTTGCATCGTGTTGACCAGGCCGCCGTCAGCCGTGTGCACGCTCAGCGTTTGTGCCACGGTGCCTCTGTACAAAGTGGGGAATTTTTTTTTTAATTTCATGGCAGAGTGAAGTTCTTATTGCAAGTCGTTAATTTTTTTCTTGTTTGAGGACTCGCAGCCATTTTGAGGAAATTATCGTGTTTACTTTGAAAATTAGATAGCAAAAAAATAATACAAATAAAAACATTGAGTAGGCCGGAAATCGTGACAGAATTTCATACATTGGTAGCTGGCAATAAGCTCTAAATGTTCATCAGGCGACCGCATAACATCTTTTCACGTTGCAAAACAAAAATTTAAACGACGGAGAATATTATTACATACAAATACTCACAAGACACTATTTTAAATGTGAAAAACATCATATGTTAGAAAACAACATCAGTGATTTATACTTACACAGCAAAACGCCGATGACGCTCGTTTTATTACATGCAAATACTCACAAGACACTATTTTAATTGTGAAAAACATCAAATGTAAGAAAACAACATGACTGATTTCTACTTACACTGCAAAAAGCCGATGTCGCTCGTTTTATTACATGCAAATACTCACAAGTCACCTATTTTTAATGTAAAACAAAATCAAATATTAGAAAACAACATCAGTGATTTCTACTTACACTGCAAAAAGGCGATGTCGCTCGTTGACGGCCATGGCCGTGATCTCGGAAGGCGTTTGTAGGAGCAGCGACGACGAGCGGTTGCGCAGGTCCAACACTCGCACGACACCGCTCACGCTGGGCAAACGGGGGTACAACATAGATGTGATGCAATAGTCTATGGGTGTGATATTATATGGCTGCAATGTTCTGTAGGTGTAATGTTCTATGGGTGTAATGTTATGTGGGTGTAATGTTCTATGTGTGTAATGTACCCTATGTGTAATGTTCTACGTCTGTGATCTCATATGGCTGCAATGTTCTATGGGTGTTACGTACCCTATGTGTAATGTTCTATGTGTGTGATCTTATATGGCTGCAATGTTCTATGGGTGTAATGCACCATATGTGTACTGTTCTACGTTTGTGATATTATATGGCTGCAATGTTCTATGAGTGTAATGTTACATATGTATAATGTTCTATGTTGTGATCTTATATGGGTGTAATGTTCTATGGGTGTAATGTTCTATGGCTGCAATGTTCTATGTGTGTAATGTTCTATGTGTGTGATCTTATATGACTGCAATTTTCTATGGGTGTAATGTTACATGTATGTAATATTCTTTGTGTGATCTTATATGGGTGTAATGTTAAGTGAGAGTAATGTTGTAAATGTACAGCCTGACGTTGCATATAACATGTTACAGTCACATCAGGCAAGAAGGTTAAATATCAAGACACTAACTTTTCATCACTCAATAATTGTAGTATTTACTCTCTATTGTCTTGAGAAAAACCATGTCATTTTCTAGCCAAGATAATGATAAAAGAATTTTGTGGTATTTTCTCTATTTTGTAGTATTTCTCTCTGTTCATGTCAATTGACTCATTTCCTATAACCAAGATAATAATAATTACTAAGTTAAGAAGCCCACCTTCCAGCCATGATACTATAGTCACTAAATAGGTGCGCGCACACCACCCAAGACGCGTCTTCTTTCCAGTCATGCACAATACTGCGCTCCCTGACGCTGCGTTGAGCAAGAAAACCTTCGTTCACTTGCATCGTGTTGACCAGACCGCCGTCAGCGGTGTGCACGCTCAGCGTTTGTGCCACGGTGCCTCTGTACAAGGTAGGGAATCTTTTTTAATTCCATGTTAGAGTTAAGTTATTTTAGCGCATTAATAATAATAGTTTAGCGCAAGTCATTATTTTTAGCGCATTTTCTCATTTATGGAAAAAATGCGCTATTGTGCTAGTCATGTCCATCTGTCTGTCCGTCCGTCCGTGACCACGTTTTCGTCGACGAGAAAATGCGCTCTCTGTCACTCACTGCAGTGAGTCCCAAGTTATATTTTTTCTTGTTTGAGGACTCGCAGCCATTTTGAGGAAATTATCATGTTTACTTTAAAAATTTGATAGAAAAAAAAATACAAATAAAAACATTGAGTAGTATGCCGCAAATCGTGATAGAACTTCATACATTGGCAACAAGCTTTAAATCTTCATCAGGCGACCGCATAACATCTTTTCACGTTGCAAAACAAAAATTTAAACGACGGAGAATATTATTACATACAAATACTCACAAGACACTATTTTAAATGTGAAAAACATCATATGTTAGAAAACAACATCAGTGATTTATACTTACACAGCAAAACGCCGATGACGCTCGTTTTATTACATGCAAATACTCACAAGACACTATTTTAATTGTGAAAAACATCAAATGTAAGAAAACAACATGACTGATTTCTACTTACACTGCAAAAAGCCGATGTCGCTCGTTTTATTACATGCAAATACTCACAAGTCACCTATTTTTAATGTAAAACAAAATCAAATATTAGAAAACAACATCAGTGATTTCTACTTACACTGCAAAAAGGCGATGTCGCTCGTTGACGGCCATGGCCGTGATCTCGGAAGGCGTTTGTAGGAGCAGCGACGACGAGCGGTTGCGCAGGTCCAACACTCGCACGACACCGCTCACGCTGGGCAAACGGGGGTACAACATAGATGTGATGCAATAGTCTATGGGTGTGATATTATATGGCTGCAATGTTCTGTAGGTGTAATGTTCTATGGGTGTAATGTTATGTGGGTGTAATGTTCTATGTGTGTAATGTACCCTATGTGTAATGTTCTACGTCTGTGATCTCATATNCTTACGCTCTAATTTCTTGTCTATGATTGGTGGATTTTGCTCGAAAGACCGTCAATGATTGGCTGATGAACTTACGATCTCTTAACTTTTTTTGAAAGTATGGGCCCCAGGCTCCTAGATTCGAATGGCATTGAAATAATATATTTGAAGATTCCTTATACAAATGTATAAAGCATCGACCAGGTTGTTGCAGTCAACAGAACAGGATGAGAAAACAGATAGCGAACATTGGGCCTGCAGAAAATAATATAAATATTTATCTACATTAATCATATATTTTGTATTATGAATAGAATATTTAGTTCAGAACAGAATACCTTGCGTGTGAAGGGCCGTGATGCAGGAGGCGTAAGCGGTGGCAGTAGAGGCAGTATTTATTAACATTAATCATATATTTTGTATTATGAATAGAATATTTTGTATTAGGAATAGAATATTTAGTTCAGAACAGAACACCTTGCGTGTGAAGTGCCGTGATGCAGGAGGCGTAAGAGGTGGCAGTAGAGGCAGTATGAAGCAGGTCCCCCGCATGTAGTTCAGTGCGCAGGTCCCACAGTCTGATGGTGCGGTGCTCTCCTCCGGCCACAGCGAGCTGACCTGTCTCCTGACACCAGCTCAACAGCGGGCCTGGACCTGGGGAAAAAATAAATATTTAGTAATACGAAATTAAAGTGTTATGTGTTACTCAATAGCAAACAAATGTTCGCTATCCTAGACTTAATGTTCGCTATCCAATATAATATTGGAGTGATACATAGTCATATAATATTTCAGTGTGGAACACCCAAAGATTTGGAATTAGTCTCAACCATGCAAAAATTATGATATTTGCATTATTACAGAAACATGCTTAGCTCTCAAAAATATATATACAAACCTATTTTGTTCAGAATACGAGACAGCAAAGAGAAATACTGAAAATCGAGATAAAAAAATCGTTGAATATTTGATTACTGCAAATTATCTAGATTGAATTTGCAAGAATACACTGGAGAGAAACATTGAAGCCTCAATTCTATGTTGAGATTGCTAAAAGAGAGCAATCTCGGCAAAATAGAGAGTAATTGCAGCAAAATAGAGAGACATTTGATTCACCTTTCATGCCAGGACGAACGTAGGTTGTAGCACTGAAGGCAGCGACAATTTTCGGACGCACGCGCGTCATGTCAAGACGCCGAGGCTCCAAGAAGTTGCTGCCTCCAATGGCCCATCCGTTTACGGGGGTCGGTGCAGGGGCAGCGCCCCCACCGCTGCTACTCCAGGGACTTGAACTCCACCCACTGGAGCTTGTGCTTCCAGATGGACTGGGGGTGCTGGTGGGTGTGGGGGAGACTCCGTCTCTTCCAAGAGGACTGTGGCTTTGCCAGCCGTAGCCTTTAGCGAAAAATCCGCCGGTAAGTCTGTCCCGAGATTCATTTACATGGCAGCCTTCACCTAAGAAGCCACCAATATTGTCGCCAACGAAAGAGTTGCCAATCATTAAATTCCCACCTCGTCTTCGCCAGCCTGTCTTCAAAGTTTCCCAGTTAGGGTCAGTTTCTCTGTCGCATTTACTGCTCTTACTGCAGCCAGTGTTGGACTGAGCCTCAAGCCATTGAGTTTTGAAATAAGGATCTTTGGTGGCATAGTTTTTGATATGGGTCCTTGTATGGAAGAAAGGGTTGCTCCAGACCCTCACTGAGCCCTCGTCTGATGCCACTGCCAGGAGCGGGGTCTCGCAAGCATCGTTTATCACGCAGGCTGAAGTGATGCGTTGGCTGGACACTTGGTGGTTCAGCCATCGGTTGACCAGCTCACTGCTCTCCAGGTTGTACGAACTGATACAAAATAATAATTATTAATCGTGTGGGAATTTTAACAAAGAAATGTTGACACGGGAATGATGCAGTTAATTAAAAAGGAATATTTACCTATAGCCGAGAAACAGATAAGAAGCTTGAATCATAATTTAGTATCGTTTTTAATTGAAGCCAGCATGGAAAAAGAATCAATGACATATGAAGAATGCGGTTAGCAACTACGTAGGATATCATGAAGATTTTCAGTTTGAACTAGTCGGAGTCTAAACCGAAACATATAAATATATACAAAGTAAGCAATATAATAAAATATTCCAGTTAGTTAAAATTACATCTTGAGATAACACATTCCAACTTCCAGAATATTAATCTGCATTTATAATGAATAAGCAGTATCGTCTCATCATCCACCCGACTCAATCTGAATTAATTCTCCCCAAAATACTCTACTTAATTCAAGATAACTTCTGCCAAGACATCACCAAACGAAATCCACCCGACTCAATCTAAATTAATTCTCCCTAAAATAATCTAGGTACTCAATTCAAGTTAACTTTTGCCAAGGCATCACTTAACAAATCTACCCGACTCAATCGGAACGAATTCTCCCAAAAATACTCTTCTCAATTCAAGTTATCTTCTGCCAAAGCATCACTTAACGAATCCACCCGGCTCAATCTGAAATAATTCTCCCTAAAATACTCTAGGTTCTCAATTCCAGTTGACTTCTGCCAAGACATCACCAAACGAAATCCACCCGACTCCATCTGAATTAATTCTCCCTAAAATAGGTACTCTAGGTTCTCAATTCAGGTTAACTTCCATCATCACCAAATAAATCGTCACCTGACGTAAGCCTTCTCGCACACAACGAGGTGTGGGGCGCTGGGATGGAAGAGAAGCACCGAGGGCAGCGAAGGTAGACGTTCATTAAGAACTTCGTTGTCGAGTTTAGCTCGAGCGCGGCCACGTTTAGGCGTCGCGTCTTTAGAGCCTTGAAGGTCCTGTAGTAGTCGCGTCTCGGTAGCCGCAGGTAACAACCTCACGCTGCACAATATTAAGGGGAAAATGCCATTTATATTGTCACTCAAGAATCGCAGGGGAAAATGACATTTATATTGTCACTCAAGAATCCCACGCTGTTCAATAATAACGGGACAATTTCATTTATAAAGTTTAACTATCAATAATAAAGTCGTTGTTTAATAATATAATATATAATATAATATAGTAATACATAATATAATATAATAAAGTCATTCAATAATAAAGGGACAATTTCATCTATAAAGTCTCTCAACTAAAGCGAGCTGTTCAATAATAAAGGAACTATGTCATTCGTAACGCCATTCAACAAACATACGCTGAATAATAAAGGAACTATGTCATTTGTAACGTCACTCAACAAACATAAGCTGAATAATAATAAAGGAACTATGTCATTTGTAACGTCATTCAACAAACATAAGCTGAATAATAATAAAGGAACTATGTCATTTGTAACGCCATTCAACAAACATACGCTGAATAATAAAGGAACTATGTCATTTATAAGGTGACACGCACATCAGGCAAGAGACAGAGCAATGGAATGTACCTATGCAAAACAATGGCCGAGTGCATGCAGCTCATTATAGGGCTTACTTTGCCCTATAATGGGCCTTGGTGTTAGGGCCCTTTGCCCTTTGGTGTTAGGGCTTATAACAAGGCAGCTCGGGTGGTGTTAGGGCTTACTTTGCGGGCTTATCACAAGGCAGCTGTTAGGGCTTACTTGGCGGGCTTATCACACGGCGTTTTTAAGGCTGTACGCAGAAGAAGAAGGTCCTTGCGGGCAACAAAGAAGGCTGACGTAGGAGGAGTGTCCGCAGGGCAGTACACTGGAGTAACTAGTAACTGTGACGACCACATCGACAAGGGACTGCTCACTAGTGGTTTAATGAACTGCTCGTTGTTATACACCGACTGCAGATGAGACAAAGTTGCTAAGACACGGAGAAATTCATAAAATGAATGTTCATAGATGAAACAAAAATAAGATATGATGTAACAAATGATTATTATATTTTGAACTCTGTTAAAGATTGTGAAATCGCTGATTAGGTTACATATGTTGCAAACTCAGTTTAAATGTTTCAAACTCGATGTTTTAAACTCAGTGGCTGATAGCAAAATCCCAGATTCTGATAGGTATTATGATGGCAGGTTGTGCTGACACAAGCAAAATCCCAGATTGTGCTAGTTATGGCTAATAGCAAATCCCAGATTGTGCTAGTTGTTATCATCGCAGATTGTGCTGATAGTTGTTATCATCGCAGATTGTGCTAGTTGTTATCATCGCAGATTGTGCTGACATAAAAACAGAGTTGAGGTCTGCGTGGGCAGGAACTGACCGAGGAGGGGCGGTGGCGGGGAGGGGGAAGACCATATTCTGCAAGACTTGAGTCTCCATGACAACCGGAACTAGAGAAGCTTCCGCTGCACGAACATGTAACGATAATTAAAGACTATCATACAAAACCAAAATCATTACACGACATTACAAAATAATTTTAATAATAATGCCTGATATCATTAAAGTAATCAACAGCTAGGAGATGAGGTCAAAAGTATACATTCAAACTTAAATAGGAAAATAAAAAATGTTTCACCAAAAAATCAAGTGACCAAGGTTACTGGGAAACAACGTGAATTGGTAACGAAAAACCGACATGACGCGGGAGTTGCCAGACACCTGGTAAGGCATGTGAGTACAGAATGAGACAATAATGAAGAAATAAGGCATGTGGGTACAGAATGAGACAGTTATGAAGAAATACTCACAAGGTTACACATGAAGACAAATCAAAAGGATCGTCTAGCGTGGAAGAGGTGCTGCCTGATGAACGTCGCGGCAGCGTAGCACTCTGCCGAGTCTGGCGGCATGAAGAGGAAATTGTTAATTTTTCGCAGAAGGATAAAGTCATTTCATTCGATACACTTGCAGATTAACAAGAGAAAAGTTGGATGCACTAGGTAGCCATTAAGCAACTGAATTACTTTAATCAATAATTGCTTCATCACATCAAAAATACTTCATCCATCATGAGAAAAAGAAAAGAAATGCAAGATCACCTTGTTGAGAACGAAATTGGTAATTTTCATGAGAAAAAAAAATTTTACCTTGTTGAGAACGAAATTAATAATTTTCATGAGAAAAAAAAAGTTTACCTTGTTGAGAACGAAATTGGTCATTTTCACGAGAAAAAAAAGTTTACCTTGTTGAGAACAAAATTGGTAATTTCCATGAAAAAAAAAAATTTACCTTGTTGAGAACGAAATTGGTAATTTTCATGAGAAAAAAAAAGTTTACCTTGTTGAGAACAAAATTAGTAATCTTAGTTACCTTGTTGAGAACGAAATTAGTAATCTTAGTTACCTTGTTGAGAACAAAATTGGTAATTTTAGAAGCCAGGGCAGAGACTGGAGGATGCGGGTCTCGGGTGAGTGTCAGCAAGGCTTGCCAGATGCGGGCATACATTCCGGAGCTTGACAGCAAACTGCCACTCCAGGAACTGCCTGCAAATAAACACTAACTAATAATATATATATTTAGCATAACAATTAATTTGCATTTGCTCTGTATATAGTTTCCTCGGACAATATCCATAATGATACTGGTAAATAGTATAGTGTAAAAATACTATGTATATACTGGTAAAAATACTATATATATATACTAGTATACGTATATACTATACTATATACTCAGAGCTGGGCAGCTGACCCCCCGATCACCCAAAACCGAGTGATCAATAACCAGACTTTATAGTTATAAATAAAATTTATTTCTATAGTGTAACAATTCTATGACCATTTTATCTATTTCAGGTCACTTGAGATTAACGCTTGCACAGTGACAGAAACTTTCAGTGCCAAACGAAAACGAAATCATTAAGACGGTATATATTTGAGAATAATACAAGAGAAGCAGGGGCTACCTATAGGTATAAAAAAGGGTACTCTTTAATGAGCTATAAGCGAACAATACAGGAGTTCCAGGCTTAAATAAGGGCATGAAAAAGAGAATTTATACCAAGAAACATGAGAACAAATCAAAGCTTGAGCCTCAAATAAAGATATGAACGAAGTGAGCACCAGGACTGCTAACGGTGAGCGCAGAGGCCGCTCGATGCATGCCGCTGATGCCGCCGGCGCTGCTGCTGCTAATACGAGCGCCCGACGGCGACAACAGCGACGCGTCGCACGGCTCACCGCTCAGCTGCACGTAGTCATGTAAGTCTTTAACACAGATATTAATATTATCGGTACAAGTATCAATAAGAACTAGAAAAAAATATATAACTCAATAGGTACTCAATGTAGTGAGTGACAGAGAGCGCATTTTCTCGTCGACGAAAACGTGAAGTCACGGACGGGCAGACAGACAGATGGACGGACGGACATGACGAGAACTCTGAGAAAGAGCTCATAGTATAGTCATGTAATTAATGACGAAGTTTATCAGGTCATTAGCAAGAACGTGTTCATTTTGTAACAAGTAATCAGAAAAGCTCATTTCGTCAGCAAGCAATTACTGATGGAGTGCATTTCTTAAATAAATGAGCAAAATATTTGCCATATGCTAAAAACAAAGGAATTTCATAATATGGAAACATATGTTGATTTTTTTAGTCGTCGTTCATTCTTCTGTAAAGGTCTTGATAATTTTAGATGAGAATAAAACTTAATATAGATTCTTACTATGCTTCTACTGGAGCTGCGACTGCTGATGCTACTCATGCTGGCGTTGAGTGTATGGGAACCCATGCTGCCTGCAGAGCACGGAGAAGTTTTTAGAAATGTATTTATAAAAATTGCTTTCGAAGTATAAAACCGTAGATGAAAATTTAACCGACCTCAAAAGAAAAAAAATATAACTCAGTACTCACTGCTGTGAGTGACAAGAGAGCGCATTTTCTCGTCGACGAAAACTTGAGGTCACGGACAGACGGACGGACAGACGGACAGACAGACGGTCGGACGGACATGGCGAGCACAATAGTGCATTTTTTCCATAAATGAGAAAATGCGCTAAAAAGAGAGAGATATTAATACAGATGTTATTTTTCGACGTTAAAATATATTTCAGAACCAAATGCCAACACACCCCAGTTGATTATTGCACAAGTGCACATGAAGCCAATGTCAGGTTCAGCGATTCACATAAATAATGAGAATTAGTAAGATAAATCGAAACAACATCAATACATAAATCTAATAAATCTTCAACTGAACATTTTACGAGTCAGAATATTCAAGCCTCGTAGAAAATACAGCAGTAAAGATGGTCGCAATTACCACAACGGTTTATAGAAATAAGGTCAGGTAATCTGAGTTTTATTTCTCAAAAAATAAAAATAAAAAGTTCGGCAACTTCACTCACTGGTTAGGCTGTCCATATCGCTATGCAGGTGCGAGACGAGTTGAATGAAGCTGTTCTCGTATAGCAAGACGAAGAGTTGTAATGCAACAGCTAGTTCCTATTAAAAAAAAAACAAATATAAGGAGTATCATTGCAACAGGATGCATGATTACACAATTCTGGCTATTACTTGGTCATTGGTTCGTTGCTAGGGAAATGACAAACCATGTCATCTTACCATGGAGACATACTACACAACATGGCAGCTCACTACACCGTCTGATCAGTGAAAATTTGTCTAATTCCCACACTTTGAAGACGAACAATTTAGGAAAGAGTTATTCATTGCAGTTCGGTGATGCGTGTTTCACTTCAAGGCATTAAGGGCTGGGTATACGTCATGCAGGAATGTAGAAGACACATCCTCATATTTTGAATGTGGCACTGTTGCTAATTAAGTTCATAAGAAGATGAGATATTTAATGGACTTGTTTTAAAGCTACATGAAACATCACTTTTTATAGCTTCTGTGCTAAAATTAGCATGCATATCAAAAGGCAACTTTAATTATATTACAGCCGATGCGTTATTCTCTGCTCATGAAGCTCCCCAGTGCGTAGATACATGCACATCTCACCTGCAGGGACAGTTATTCAATTAGTCCATTCAATTTCAATTGAAGACGAGTGAATAACTGTTATTTAGTTATTTAACCACAGCCTATTAACAGTCAGAAATATTATAAAGTCATTTAAGACTCAAAGATAGCGTGAATACAAGTACATTTCACCTATGGCACGATATTTAGTTAAGTCAGGCCCAGCACATAACAGTTATTGTTATTAAACGGCCCACCGAACGTATGGACAAAAATAACAATTTAAACTATGGAGTCCGTTGTTCCATTCGATTTCAATTTAAGGCGAGTGAATAACTAAGGAATTCAAGGCCCGTGAATGACAGCGAGTTAGTTATTCAAGGACCTACCAATTGACACGAGATTTGTAAGCCGTTTTCATGAAGGAGTAAACGAAATTTGTATGGATTAAATATCAGAAGCGCTCAATTACAAGATAGAGGAGTGTTAATTAATTACACAGAAAAATAAGAAATTGCTACCAACTTCTCTTTCAAACGAATAAATATACTCCGTATGCCAAAAAAAAAAGTAATCTATAGGTTATTTAACCCAACAGGCACAGTTAAACCAGAAGAACTTCGCACTAGAGCACTTAAGTCAAAGTATAAAAATTTCAAAACTAAATTCAAGAAGCTAAAAAGAAATGAAAGGACTCAGTAATTCAGGATCATGAAAGAACATGAAATAAATGCGCATTAAATCCAGGCACAGGATTGAAATAGTAAATATGCCACCTAGACCACCCTAGGTACTGGTTCAATAGACAGCTTAAAGCACCGGATCGAAGGAGTAAATATGCACACTAGACCACTTAAGGTACAGGATCAATAGACCCCTGAATGCAAAGTATCGAAATAGTAAAAAATATGAACACTAGACAACCTCGCGCCCGGAATCGAAATAGTAAATGTGTGCACCAGACCACTGCAGGCACAGGAACTATATAGTAACTATGCGCACTAGACCACCTCAGGCACAGGATCAAAATAGTAAATATGTCACTGAGACCAGCCCAGGTACAGGATCGAAATAGTAAATATGCGCACTAGACCACCTTAGACACATGATCTGAATAGTAAATGCCTATACCAGACCACCACCTCAGGCACAGGATCTAAATAGTAAATGTCTACACTAGACAACCACCTCAGGCACAGGATCTAAATAGTAAATGTCTATACTAAACCACCACCTTATACCCATGATCTAAATAATAAATGCCTATACTAAACCACCACCTTAGACCCATGATCTAAATAGTAAATGCCTATACTAGACCACCACCTCAGGCACAGGATCCAGCAGCAGTGGGTAGAGTTTCTCAGGAGCGTTGTCGCGCGTGGCGCTCCAACGCACGTCGGGGTTGTTGTGCCACGTCGCTGCCAGACAAACTACAGGCCACATGCGCACGCTCGCCTCAGCGTGCATGTCGTGCCGGTTGTGCACTTCGTAGTCGTAACTGTTGTTTACCTGCGCGGGAATATTGGTAAATAGACCTCAATTATCGACACAAACACAGTAACTGTTATTTACATGCGCGGCCATATTGGTGATTATTTACAATGGGATTTTTGATACAAAAATAAATTCCATGGGGAAACAGTTATAAATTTTTTCACATTTCAAGGATGAGGCAAAGCTTGGAGTGATTGAAAGGCGCATATCGATAAGATTGAAGAGATGAGTTGAGGGTTTGAATCTCGAGAATAGTTGCCAAGATTCCAGACAAAATCGGCAATGTGATTCAGAATTGAATACAAACCAAAATGGCTTAATTGAAATTGAGATCACAATGAATATATTTGACTATACTATGAATGCGCCAGGGCCTATACTTTCAAAAAAAGTCAAGAGATCGTAAGTTCATCAGCCAATCATTGACGGCCTTTCAAGCATAATCCACCAATCATGGACAAGAAAATAGAGCGTAAGTACTTACGTTCACTTAGCGAGTTTTGAAAGTATGACCCCTGGTATATAGGGTGTTGCAAAAACTAGCAGGACTTGCCAAGCTAGACATGTGTATATTGAAATTAAAAATACGAGATTATACGTAAATAAAAAATACGAAATCAGATTTACCACTGCTATGTTTACCTCATCGTAGGGCCCAGGCCCAGGTAAGGTTGTGTTGAAATGAAAAATACGAGATTATACGTAAATGAAAAATACGAAATCATATTTACCACTGCTATGTTTACCTCGTCGTAAGGTCCAGGTAAAGTTGTGTTGGAGATTTGCTCAAGACATGTGGGGATGATGTTAGCCTGGAGAGCCTTTCTTTGGTTCTCAGGGTCGTTGCTGACCATCACTGCAAGGATGAAAGCCGCCAGCCCGCGATGTTCTGCCTAAATTCAGAAATGATTAGTAGAACTCAAGCATCGCAATGAAGATAATGCTATCACTGCAGCTGATTATTTTTAAACGTCTACATCAGTGAGCATCCCTTTTTATCAACTTCTGCAAGGTTGTTGATCATTTTGAACGTCAACACCAACTGCGTTCATTTTGTCAACTTCGGCAAGGTTCTAAATCAAAACCAACGCCTCAACTTCTGCAAGGTTCAAGTTTATGGTCAATATTCCATTAAATTAATTATTCAGACAAAAAGTTTGTAACTATATCATATATAGATGATAAAGGAACATTAAGTTTGTAACTATATTATAGATCATAACGTATATACGTTTAAGACGAGACCTGCATGGTGGTGTNATAGTCTAGTCATAAATTATTTAGACTATTATTATTTATTAATTATTTAGACAGTCTAGTCATAAATAATAGTCTAGTCATGTAATTATTGATAGTCTAGTCATAAATTATTTAGACTATTATTATTTATTAATTATTTAGACAGTCTAGTCATAAATAATAGTCTAGTCATGTAATTAATGTTAGTCTAGTCATAAAGTATTTAGACTATTATTATTTATTAATTATTTAGACAGTCTAGTGATAAATAATAGTCTAGTCATGTTATTAATGACGAACTTCATCAGGTCATTAACAAACGCGTTCATTTTGTAACAAGTAATTATAGAAGCTCATTACGTCAGCAAGCCATTACAGATGGAGTGTTATTTTTTAAATAAATGAGCTCAATATTTGCCATATGCTAAAAGCAAAAAAATTTCATAATATGGAAACATATGTTAATTTTTTAGTCATTCTTTATTTTTAGCGCATTTTCTCATTTATGGAAAAAAGGCGCTATTGTGCTCGCCATGTCCGTCTGTCCGTCAGTCTGTCTATCCGTCAGTCTGTCTATCCGTCCGTTTGTCTGTCCGTCCGTCTCTCTGTCTGTCCGTCTGTCCGTCCGTCCATCCGTCCGTGACTTCACGTTTTCGTCGACGAGAAAATGCGCTCTCTGTCACTCACTGCAGTGAGTACCGAGTTATATTTTTTGTAAAGGTTTTGATAATTTTAGATTAGAATAAAACTTAATATAATATATAAAGCCTTACTATGAATGTTATATTACTATAAAACTAATATGTATTACTATAAAACTTAATATGATATAGTCTTACTATGAATGTTATATTACTATAAAACTTAATATGATATAGTCTTATTATGAATGTTATATTACTATAAAACTAATACATATTTCTATAAAACTTAATATGATATAAAGCTTTACTATGAATGTTATATTACTATAAAACTAATATATATTACTATAAAACTTAATATAATATAGAGTCTTACTATGAATGTTATATTACTATAAAACTAATATATATTACTATAAAACTAATATATATATTACAATAAAACTAATTTAATATAATATAGAGTCTTACTATGAATGTTATATTACTATAAAACTAATATATATTACTATAAAACTAATATATATATTACAATAAAACTAATGTTATATTACTATAAAACTAATATATATTACTATAAAACTAATATACATATTACAATAAAACTAATATTATATTACTATAAAACTAATATATATTACTATAAAACTTAATATAAAGCCTTACTATGCTTCTATTGGAGCTGCGACTGCTGATGCTACTCATGCTGGCGTTGAGTGTATGGGATCCCATGCTGCCTGCATGGCATAGAAAAGTTTTAATAAATGTTATAAAAACATTTATTATATTATTATTATTATAAATAATTAAATCTCATAATCACTTGACAATTAACGACGTGTTTAAAGCAACATAGTTTCACGTGAGTATGGGATCCCATGCTGCCTTCAGGGCATAGAGAAGTTTTTAGTAATGTATTTATATAAATTGCTTTCGAAATATAACACCATAGAAGAAAAGTTAATCCACCTCAAAGGAAAAAAAAGAGATATTGGTCATGAATGTTAAAAAGAAAAGGTCATGAAGTTAAAGAGAAATGTTGTTAAAAGAGATATTAAATTATTAATACAGATAATGTTTTATTTTCGATTTTAAAATATATTTCTTAACCAAATGCAAACACACCCTAGTTGATTATTGTACAAGTGCACATGAAGCCAATGTCAGGTGCAGCGATTACCATAAATAGTGAGAATTAGTAAGATAACATCAATAAATAAAGCTAATTAATTTTCAACTGAACATTTAAAAGTCAGAATCTCCAAGCCCCGTACAATATACAGTAGGAAAGATGTTCACAATTACTACACCAGTTTATCACAATTAGGTCAGGTAATCTGAGTTTTAAATCAAAACAACATCAATAAATAAATCTAATAAATCTTCAACTGAACATTTTACGAGTCAGAATATTCAAGCCTCGTAGAAAATACAGCAGTAAAGATGGTCGCAATTACCACAACGGTTTATAGAAATAAGGTCAGGTAATCTGAGTTTTATTTCTCAGTTATTTCTCCTTTTTTTTGTTGGAATGGTGAGTGTGGGAGGCCTTTATAAAAAATAAAAAAAAAATAAAAAATCTCAGTAAAGTTCGGCAACTTCACTCACTGTTTAGGCTGTCCATATCGCTGTGCAGGTGCATCACAATTATTTAAAATAATTCATGTTTTATCTCTCAGTTATTTCTCCTTTTTTTTTTGTTGGAATGGTGAGTGTGGGAGGCCTTTATAAAAAAATTCTCAGTAAAGTTCGGCAACTTCACTCACTGGTTATCTTACCATGGCGACATATTACACAACATGGCAGTTCACTACCATGTCTTAATGTCTCCATCTTACCATAGAGACATATTACACAACATGGTAGCTCACTACCATGTCTTAATGTCTCCATCTTACCATGGAGACATATTACACAACATGGCAGTTCACTACCATGTCTATGTCTCCATCTTACCATGGAGACATATTACACAACATGGTAGCTCACTACCATGTCTTAATGTCTCCCTCTTACCATGGAAACTTATTACACAACATGGCAGCTCACTACCATGTCTTAAGGTCTCCATCTTACCATGGAGACATATTACACAACATGGCAGTTCACTACCATGTCTTAATGTCTCCATCTTACCATGGAGACATATTACACAACATGGCATCTCACTACCATGTCTTAATGTCTCCATCTTACACCATGGAGACATACTACACAACATGGCAAATTTATACATTGAAACACATGTAATATGATTTATAACTTGAACAGCAAGTTATATAATAGATATAACACCTGCAGTAGCACTGGTAGCTGCTCAGGAGGTTCCCTGTTGCGGTGGGGGAGTTTGAGCCACGCTTGGAAGGCGGAAAGTTGGCACTGGAAGAAGGGCAACTGCAAACCCTGAAAACCCATTAGAAATAAGTATAATTTTATTCATCATAGGTGAATTTTTCTAAAATTTATCGTTTGTAATCATAGGATAATTAATCGGTCACAAACATATCTGATTTCATTAAGCAATGATAAATTTTAATAAAAATTATCATTCGCAATTATCAAACAATTTTCCTTGTGCAACAAAGAACTAAGTACAAGCAAATCTAAAAACCAGGTAAGGTATTATTCAATAGCACCTGCAAATTAGAGGGATGAATGATAAACTGTTGATCTTTGCCGTTGCGTGTTATTTGTTTGTTGTTGAGAGCAGATAAGCGCGACGTGACAGCACCACGATTGCCATTAATATTAAAGCTCCCTGAACGAGCGTCCAAATTGCCGCTGCTGCTATAGCTGCCATAGCTGTTGTTGTTATAGCTGCCATAGCTGTTGTTGTTACTGCCACCACCAAGTGTGAACGCCAAGCTTGGCCAGAGCTGCGTCAAGCAATGCTGCAGCGATAGATCCCATGACTGCCACATTGAGTGCTGAACATAAAATAACAGAATTTAGTGTTAGGGATTACAAGGTTTATCATTGATCAGCAAACTATCATTTGCAGTGCTAGATCCCATAACTGCTATATTGGGTGCTGCATATATACAGAATTCAGCGTTAAGGAACACACGTTTTACTACCCATTAACTGATTATCATTAGAAAGTGAAAAAATAGATTACTTTATATGTACCAAGGTAATGATCATAACAGACACATAATATCAAAAATTTTAACAACAGTTCAACAAGTTCTATTTTATATCAACAACAGTTCTATTTTTCATTCAAACTCAGAAGAAATGCTTAAATTTGCGGCTTTGTACACTAGCTTTAAAACAAATTTTAATAGGGAACAACTCATATGAAATGCTTAAGTTTGTGGCTTTGTACACTAGCTGTAAAACTTATTAAACAAATTTTAATAGGAGAGATAATATATAATATATTTTAATAGTAATAATAATAGTTTAGAGTTTAGATCTTACACAGTGCGTAGGAAACCAAGGTAATGAATTTTAACAAACGGCTCAGACGAAATGCTTGAGTTTGTGGCTTTGTACACTAGACTGAAAAACTTATTAAACAAATTTTAATAGGAATAATGATAGTTTAGAGTTTAGATCTTACACAGTGCGTAGGAGGAAGGCGGGGAAGTTAGCCGCGCATGATGCGCTCTGCTAGCAGGAAATTACGGAAGAGAGACGCTACCAGCAGGTCCTGCCTGAACAGCTTCTGGAACCGCTCTGAAGAACACAACATTGTTCAATGTAAACGCGGGAACATTATTGCTGAATAATGCAGGCCTGCATGAACAGGTCCTGCCTAAACAGCTGCCTGAACAGGTATGGTCTGAACAGCTTCTGGAACCGCTCTGAACAATACAACATCGTTCAATGTAAATATGTTAACATTTTTGCTAGATAATGCAGGGTATTCTAATTTTTAAAGATCGTTCAAAGTAAAGGTGGGAACATTATTGCTAGATAATGCAGAACATTCTAATTTTCAAAGATCGTTTAATGTAAATGCGGGAACATTATTGCTATATAATGCAGAACATTCTAATTTTTAAAGATCGTTCAATGTAAACGCGAGAACATTATTGCTAGATAATGCAGGGCATATAAATTTTCAAAGATCGTTCAATTTAAAGGCGGGAACATTATTACTAGATAATGCAGAACATAAACAGGCCATTCCAACATGTTACTTCAAAACATTTTATAGAGATTATTTATTCATATTATATATTTGTGTATTTATCATTTCCATGTAAATGATAAAAATACAGTCCTTAGTCAATAGAAACAATGAAATTCTCTGATTGCGCTTTTCTATTAAATTCACGTTTGCTTTAAGACAACATTATTGAGGAAAAACCATAGAATCATTTATAAAAAATGCTGTAAATTACGCACCGAGAGGGAGAACATTCCACGCGATAGTGTCAGTTATGGCCGTGAACACCCAATTGAGCTCTCCGAGCACCGTGCGTCGGTCATGCAGTTCTCCAGGTATCCTGATCACAGAAATAATTCCATCGTCAAAATTGTCATGATGATTAATTTAAATGACACAACTTATGAATATTAATACCCAGCAAATTTAAATTTTGTTCCCCCAGCAAATTTAAATTTTGTTCCCCCAGCAAATTTAAATTTTGTTCCAAGATTAGAAGGAGATACTAAGCTGTGCTGGAGAGCACATAGAACACCTCTGTTCTTCGTTATAAATGTGAGGCTTTTTGAAAATAATAAATTATTTGTGTTAACAAATTCAATAAGTTAATTTTCTGAGCCGATAATAAATGCATTTCGTGAGATATGATGAAACAAATGCTTCATTTCATCAGCTTAGATACACCTGACTTGAACCGAGAGAAAAAAGTTGACAATTGAATAAGATATTTGATGACGAGAATGTATGATAAAAGCGAGGGCTGACTTGTCAGCAATATGGAGACTTGAACAGAGAGAAAAAGTAGACAATTGAATAAGATATTTGATGACGAGAATGTATGATAAAAGCGAGGGCTGACTTGTCAGTGATATGGAGACGAGAATGTATGATGTTGGCAGGAGTATGATAAGATATTTGATGAAGAGAATCTATGATAAAAGCGAAGGCTGACTTGTCAGCAATATGGAGAGGGGGCGGGTAGGCACAATGCTGCAGCAGGAACCAGCGCACTGCCATGGTTATTGGCGTCGTCAGGCACGCGGTGAAGACGTCCGCTGGAAGCTCAGGACACATCGGCAGCAATTCTCCTTCACCACACGCACACAGATGGATGCTCTCACTGCAGTCATGTGAAGAATAAGGAGCACTGATTTTCATACTATTTCATAAATTTATATTTGAACTTGGAATCTATAAAGTGTTTTTTGAACTACCAAACGTCGCAATGACTGATGCGATATGTATATATATCCACTGTATCAATCTACAGTTTAAATAATGCCGTAGTATATATATAATAATCAGCACGCATTGCACTCCCATGCTTCAAAAATGTTTCGTCAATGATCACCCAAAGTGACAAATAATATCACAATATTTATTCGGCCCAATTAAAGTGAGCTGTGATGTGTCCTGCAGAATGGGCTACTTTCAAAGATATCATAATATACTACATAGATTATATACAGGCACTTGTTTAGTATATAGTTCCTGGACGGTCACGCTCGTTATAACAGAAGCTTTAGTGTGTAGCAGAACAACTTATTTCTTAATACAGAGCACTGATTTACATACCATATAATCATAAGGTTATATTTGAACTTGGAATCTATATAGTGTTTTTGAACTACCAAACGTCGTAATGACTGATGCGATGTTTATTATATGCCCACCCACATTAATCAACACGCATCACACTCGCGTGCTTTAATAAAAATGCTTAGTAAATGACCATCAAACGGTCACGCTCGTTATAACAGAAGCTTTAGTGTGTAGCACTTAGCAGTACAACTTATTTCATCTCAATCAATAATAAATTACCCAAAAACGGACGGTTGAGGCGTGCTACAGCCTGACTCGATGGGCTGGCCCATGTTAGGCCCAAGGTTGGTGTTAAAGTTGACGTTTTCTTGACCAGGTACATTGTTAGCCTGGAAATTGGGATTTCCTGCAATGAGGTGCGGATTAACGGGATGAACGGGACCAAAATCCGCCACTTGGCGACTAGACTGGCGGACACCTCCTTTGACGTTTTCTTGACCAGGTACATTGTTTGCCTGGAAATTGGGATTTCCTGCAATGAGGTGCGGATTAACGGGATGAACGGGACCAAAATCCGCTACTTGGCGACTAGACTGGCGGACACCTCCTGAGGCAGGGTGTTGCTGCTGCTGCTGGCGGTCAGCCTGAGGATCTGGAAACACGGAAGTAACTTGGCAAATTGATCTGAACAATCTTTTATTAGAGTTGGGTTGTTAGTTTAGAGGTCACATGCTTACTAGCGCTTTAGCTATTTAGCGATCTAGCACCGAAAATCAAGATAATATCACCAAAGAGGTGTAAGGTCTCAGTTATCAAAAGTTTCTCAAATCAAAAATTGTTCATCACCCACAAGAGGCAGAAGGTCTCAGATGTCCAGCCCGCTGAAGCTGGCTCGAAAGAAGCAGCGTTAGCATCTCAAAGAGACGAAGTGACAAGGAGGGACAGGTGA